GGGCGGGGGTGGGGTGGAGGTACCGGGCCTTCTCCCCCCGGCTGATGGGGTAGTAGCCCTCGCTGCGGGCGCTGCCCGTCCGGTGCTGCCGACCTTCGGGCCACCGCCCACCACCATGGCCACCACCACCACCACCATGGCCACCACCATGGCCACCACGATGGTCACGGCCACCGCCCGGCCCCGGGCTCAGCCCACGCGTCAGTGGCACCGTCAAGGACAACCAGCTCCATGGACACAATGACCATCCCCATGGACCCAAAGAACATCAACCCAACCATGGTGGACCCAAAGACCATCTCCATCTTCTCAAAGACCATCTCCATCTTCTCAATGACCATCAACCCAACGGTGATGACCCCAAAGACCATCTCCATGGCCCCAAGACCCATCTCCATGGCCCCATTGACCATCCCCATGGACCCAATGACCATCAACCCAACCATGATGGCCTCAAGACCCATCTCCATCTCCTCAAGGACCATCAACCCAACGGTGATGGCCCCAAAGACCATCTTCATGGACCCAAGACCCATCTCCATGGCCCCAAGACCCATCTCCATGGCCCCATTGACCATCCCCATGGACCCAATGACCATGAACCCAACCATGATGGCCCCAAAGACCATCTTCATGGACCCAAAGACCATCCCCATGACCCCATTGACCATCGCCATCAACCCAATGACCATCAACCCAACGATGATGGCCCTAAAGACCATCTCCATGGACCTAATGACCATCCCCATGGACCCAATGACCATCAACCCAACCATGATGGCTCCAAAACCCATCTCCATCTTCTCAAAGACCCCTCTCCATCTCCTCAAAGAGCATCAACCCAACCATGATGGCCCCAAAGACCCATCTCTATGTCCCCAATGACCAACAACCCAACGATGATGGCACCAAGACCCATCTTCATCTTCTCAAAGACCATCAACCCAACGATGGTGGACCCAAGACCCATCTCCTCAAAGACCATCAACCCAACGATGAAGACCATCTCCATGGACCTAATGACCATCCCTGTAGCCCCAATGACCAACAACCCAATGATGGTGGACCCAAGACCCATCTCCATCTTCTCAATGACCAACAACCCAATGATGGTGGACCCAAGACCCATCTCCATCTCCTCAAGACCCATCTTCAAGTCCCTAATGACCATCCCCATGGACCCAATGACCATCAACCCAACCATGATGGCCTCAAGACCCATCTCCATCTCCTCAAGACCCATCTTCAAGTCCCTAATGACCATCCCCATGGACCCAATGACCATCAACCCAACCATGATGGCCTCAAGACCCATCTCCATCTCCTCAAGACCCATCTTCAAGTCCCTAATGACCATCCCCATGGACCCAATGACCATCAACCCAACCATGATGGCTCCAAAACCCATCTCCATCTTCTCAAAGACCCCTCTCCATCTCCTCAAAGAGCATCAACCCAACCATGATGGCCCCAAAGACCCATCTCTATGTCCCCAATGACCAACAACCCAACGATGATGGCACCAAGACCCATCTTCATCTTCTCAAAGACCATCAACCCAACGATGGTGGACCCAAGACCCATCTCCTCAAAGACCATCAACCCAACGATGAAGACCATCTCCATGGACCTAATGACCATCCCTGTAGCCCCAATGACCAACAACCCAATGATGGTGGACCCAAGACCCATCTCCATCTTCTCAATGACCAACAACCCAACGATGATGGCACCAAGACCCATCCCCATGGCCCCAAAGACCATCCCCATGGACCCAATGACCATCAACCCAACCATGATGGCCCTAAAGACCATCTCCATCTCCTCAAGACCCATCTCCATGGACCCAATGACCATCAACCCAACCACGATGGCTCCAATGACCATCAACCCAACGATGGTGGCCCTAAAGACCATCTCCATCTTCTCAATGACCATCAACCCAACGATGATGGACCCAAAGACCATCTCCATGGACCTAATGACCATCCCCATGGACCCAATGACCATCAACCCAATGATGATGACTCCAAAGACCATCTCCATCTCCTCAAAGACCATCAACCCAACAATGAAGACCAACTCCATGGACACAAAGACCAATAACCCAACGGTGATGGACCCAAAGACCATCAACCCAACAATGATGAGTCCAAAGACCATCCCCATGGACCCAAAGACCATCAACCCAACGATGATGGACCCAAAGACCATCCCCATGGACCCAAAGACCATCAACCCAACGATGATGGACCCAAAGACCATCCCCATGGACCCAAAGACCATCAACCCAACGATGATGGACCCAAAGACCATCCCCATGGACCCAATGACCATCAACCCAACCATGATGGCCTCAAGACCCATCTCCATCTCCTCAAGACCCATCTTCAAGACCCTAATGACCATCCCCA